ATTAATTTGAAAGTCCAGAGTATTTTTTCGTGGGATTATATATGAGTCCAACTTCTATCAGTCAAGATAAATGTGATATTGCATTTGTAGATGTGGAAGAGCCAGCTATTGCTATCAGATTTTTGGAGTTGGATTTTTTTTTCTATGTCTAAAAAAAGAAAAAAAAATGCAGTCTGTTGTGACAAAAGACCATTTCTTGAAACTATTATTGATATACATATCCACGAGATACTGTACCATGAAATATTTCAATATAATTTTATGGATGCTAAGGAAAAAATATGTTTAGCACAGTCTTCTACATTATCCCAGTGGTGAAATCTCGCCCTGTGTGAGGTATGTGTGAGCTAAGCATGTTTTCTTCACTGAAAAAGTATTTATATATATACAGTATATGAGATCCACCAAAGTCATTTCTGAATACTTCAGTAAATTACTGTACATATACACATACATGTGAACTTCCTCCACAACCATAACAGTGAATGAATCAGAAGAAGGGTATGATAGAAAAAGTATGTACTTGAAATGAAGCAAGTCTGTTCCCCAAACTGAATCAAATATCTTTTTAGTTCCTCTTTTTTTCTTCCTATATTTTAACAGATATTTATGATTTAGATACTGTGATTTCTCTATGATAAAATGCTTATTTTTGTTAGCCTAGAATACCTTTTTTTAAAGAAATGAGTTCATATATCACCCAGTATATGGTAAAATATGAACAACACAGATTAATAAGCTTCAATACCTGCCATAAAAATGACCATCATTGATAGTGTTGGTGTGTAACAACTAACTCATTTTGAATGTGAGAATTAAACTTTTTATTCATACAAATGGAACAGAGATTTTTCTCCCTCTGGTACAGATGAATAATCATTTATGTAAAGATTCTTTTCATTCTTTTCTGGTGTTATAAGGTTTTGTTATTACTGTGGTCATAATTTCGATGGCTATGACCTGTAAGGGTTTTGACTGATATAGATTTTTTTATTATAAAGTTTATGATATAAATGCTTATTGTTTGTCAGTGATCAATATGCAGTTATAATTAACTGACAACAAAGGTTATATGAAGACTTGCATGTCCAATGGTGTTTATGGACCAATTGCCTGAAAAAGCATATATTACATAATTTGTTAGCTTAATATCTCATTGAACAAAAGCATAGGTATGTTCACATTCATGTCTCATGACTATAGTACATATGTGTGAGCCTATTGATGCTTATGTTATAGATGAAAATTTAACTAACAAAACATTGAATAAACACATTTTTGGGCAGTTGGTCTAAGAACATCTTTTGAAAATGCGTGATTTCATATAACTTCAATATGGGCATGTCTGTCAATTCATGTAGGTATATTCATTGACATTCCTGACAGAGTTTAAAAAGAGTAGGTGAAAATCCTGTTTTTCATATCACTTCATGCATTTCTTATCACAGCAAACATAAAGGATGCATAGCATTCTCAATGATGAAAATATTACAGAGAAAGTCTCAAAGCTTGATAATGTAAGTTTAGCAAAGCTACTGTTTAATGGATATCATAGCATAAATGTACCATACAGGGATTTTGTATTGAACTCTGGCAGTTGTCATTAGCTTTGGCATGTTTTATGGATCTTCATGTGTAGTCTCAAGGTATAGAAGGAAGAGAAAACCAGGAAACCAGGACAGCACATGATTCTGTTAACTCAGGTTTTCTCGCTGTTATGTTTTCCCTTTCCTCATGATTCTTTCCCAGATAAGGGTGGTACCCTAAAAGTGTTTTGTTTTTTAAGCTTCCTTATCTCAGAAAATGCATTCCATTTAGAGTTTTAGTTTTTTTGTAATTTATTTGTATTATTTTATATCGAATGTGTTGGGGTGTAAAAAGAAAAAAAAAGTTATGTATTTTTGTACTTAATCTTAAATGATTTGGAAACAAAGATTGAAAGATCTTTGTATGCCCGAACTACCTATCTCCTCCTGCTTTGTTACACATTAACACTTGTTATATTGACAGTCCACCATCTTTTTTTTTCTTTCTTCTTCTTCTTAATCATTGTAAGGTCTCATCCATTTCTGAGACATGACAACAGTGAAAAAAGGACCTTCCTCTTCAGATAGTAATAGATTGCAAGCATTGCCATCCTTGAGCTTCTATTGGCATAATATACCCAAATCTTTTAAGCTGTTTGCATTGTAGGCTATTTGTTTTCAATTAGTCTCTGCATCCTTAGCAAATTTTTAAAAATTAATAGATCTAGAAAAGAATAGTTCAACTCGATTCACATTGCTTATGAGTAATATAGTAGTAACACTCACTGCTGAGGTAAAAGTTTTAAACTTTTATTTTGTTTCCTTGTTTTATTTGACAAGATGAGGGAAAGGCTCAGTTCTGCAATTCTGAGTCATTATTTATACCATTTTTTGGGTGTTTACTATTATGTAGCATTGTCTAACTGGGTCCTTCATGTTCAGACATTACCGTTTTCCAATATGATTCCGAATCTATTGGTATTTCTGTCCTAGTTGGTAATACATGTGTGGGGATATGATTATATGGTGCAGTCACTACATTCTTATTCTGTGTGTCAGATTTCCATGTGTGTTTTGATTGCCAACTTTAATTTAGAAGTTTTATAACTGATAGGTATTATGTTTCCAAAGACAATGCAGTACATGTATGAACATATGCTGCAGAACTAGACCAAGAAATATATTTTAAAAAATCACATCACTTTCATTTAATGCCATTTTCTGATATTAGGAATAACATAATTGTATCTATTCAGTCTTTTTTTCCCCTTCTATATTTAGATAACTATAACCATTGCTTCTTGTATCAATGATAATAGATTGTTGTAATGTTTCTTAGCAGAAAATCCTCTTTCGTATGACTGATCTTGACTTCAGTTGCTCATTATTCCATCACAGTCAATAGTTGATATTTCCACCTTTGGTTAATGATAACTCAGGGTATGGGGTCCTGACAGGGGTTGCACTTTTGGCTCACATTTTTCTAATAAATTTGGTGCTCGCTGGTATATGTTATGGGAGTAACGTTTTTTCTTCCCATGGCTTCAAATCTTGTTTAGATTATATACTTTTTCTTCTTGTGTTGGGAAATTTTTACGACTTTATTCATTCTCTGTTAGTTTGTGCAGATATGAGATTTTGTGAATGCACTGATGCATAATGTTTGGTATTGTATTCATTTTGAAAATAGTCTGTGTCAAAAGAAGTTTAAAATATCAGCACAAATATATCTTCCTTTCTTTCTTTCTTTCTTTATGACATTCAGAGTTGTGGCATTATTTTTACAGTGAATGATTTTTTTTTTATTATGATTATTATTTTATGTGCTTTGTATTGTTTGTGTGGCAGTGTGGCAATGTGTTTTAACTTATCAATATTTAGAAAATATGTATGATTTGTACATAATAAAATGTAGTAAATGAAACCTCAGCCTTGTATTCTTTATCATAGAAGAACCTATTATCCTTACATTAATTGATTAATTTAAATAATTATATTCTGGTGCAGACTAACATCAATTAAAAAAAGAAAAAAAAGAATCAGACAGCATTTAAAGCTTTAATTAAATATCTACAACACTATGATCACATTGTTTTTTTTTTTTTAACTTAATGTGGAAATGTGAAAGTTGATCTGAGATTATGATGAAATTGCAAAAAATGGTAATTTTAAATTATGTTTTTAAAGCTCTTAGTCTGACATTTTTCCAAGGTAAAGTGAAACCTTGCAATAACAATACTAAGATAATCTGGAAAATTCGGGAATCATAATACACAGAATAAAATGGTCTCTATTATCTTAGAAAGGAATGTAGCAAAGTTAACATCATACATTCCAATTGAATTCCACATAGTTTTTGTCTCATTATGAAATACAATGAACTATGTTAAACACATTAGAGGAGGAGGAGGAGGAGGAAGAGAAGGAAAAGGTGATTGTGGAAATGTATTCAGTTATGCATTAAAGCATGTTAGTGAGGACAGTTTTTTTTAACATTATACTGCTGCAAAATGTGGACAAAATTGGGTGTACATTTTATCTTTTAGTAAAACAAGAGGAAAATGTCATCTGAAATCCTATTGCCTATTGTTAAGACACAAAGTCATTTATCTAAAATAAAAGATAGTAGTACTAATTGGAAGCAAAATATTTCAGATATACATAGGTGTCAAGAGGAGTGTATGGGATGCAATTTCCAAGGCATACCTGATCCACATTTGCGTAAAGATCTGTAATACATAATGATAAACCATCGGAAAGTTAGAAATTACACAATTTAATTAATCCAAGCAAAGTTACAGTTCTAGTTTTTTTTTAGTCTTCTTTGAAAATTAACATGTGAATGAATATGGAATTCAACAAGGAGGACCACAGCATAACATTGAAGAGAAAGGAGAAAGATGCATGATGATGGACTAAGTCCTATGCAGCTGTTGCAACCTGAAGGATACAGATAAAAATTTAAGGTGATAGCAGAGAGAGCATAGTTAGATAGCTCCAGATGGTGGTCTGCATGAAGAGAAAAGGAGAGTGAAAGCAGGTGGGGCAGGGTGGCAAGATTAATTTATAATAGAATAGCACTGCTAAAGGAAGGGGAAAGTTTACAAGATTGTAGTGGGACCATCTGTTGTGCAACTTGGCGGCAATGATGACAGATGGTGGAGGTGGTTGTAGCATTAATATATTAGAGTGTAGATAGGTTGTTCCAAAGACAGAGTGAGAGAGGCAAGGAAGAAAGGTTTTGGCCATGTGCTGAAGAGTGATGCATGATATAGTGGAAGAAGAATGGTTGGAGAAAGATGCAGAGAACAAAGTCAAATGGAGATAAATAATCAGCAATGGCAAGCTATAGAACAAACAGCTAAAGGAGGAAAATGGTAATCAATATCATAATTTTCTTTTTCTTTTTAATAAAATAATTATAGCAATAATAAAGACAAAAATCATAATGCACCTATATACAAAAATGTATATCAAATTATGAGCAGAGTACTTACTATCCATTATTCCGATTTTGAACTTTTCTCAATAAATCTTTCCAGAGCCATAGCTATCCTTTCAACCAGTTTTTCCGTATTCTTCTGTACTTTCAACTGCTCGACACATATCTTCTTTAACACAGAAACTTCCTTACTGAGTTGTGACACTTCAGCCCTCACAACCTTTTCATTCTCGAACCTTGCTTTCTCAAGTTCATGTGCTTGAGTAAACTGGCTGTCCACTTTCGATATACACTGTTCTCTGGCTGCGATCAGTTTATCAATTTTGAGATCCTTTTCATCTTCAGCGGCAATTCTTTGAATTTCTACGTCCTTTCCGTGTGTGTCAGGTAGAGACTCTTCACAAGAAATAGACTGTTTATGAAAAGACTTGGCACTTTGTTGAGATTTTGACTTAGATGTGATATGAATGAGATCATTCATAACCTGAAAAGGTGAATTAGTTATGAGTATTGTGCTATCAGGACTAAAATCTGTCTATCCTTTGTGTTTTTGTGTGTAATATGTGTGTGTGTGTGTGTGTGTGTGTGTGTGTGTGTGTGTGTGTGTGTGTGTGTGTGTGTGTGTGTGTGTGTGTGTGTGTGTGTGTGTGTGTGTGTGTGTCAAATTGAAGGGTTAAATTTTAAAAATTTTACTCTAATTAATACAGTATCAACACATACAAATAAATAAATATATGAAAGATAAATAGGTACCTATATATCTATATATATATATATATATCTATATATATATATATATAGATATATATATATATATCTATATATATATATATATATCTATATATATATATATCTATATATATATATATCTATATATATATATATAGATATATATATATATATATCTATATATATATATATCTATATATATATATATCTATATATATATATATATCTATATATATATATATAGATATATATATATATAATATATATATATATATATCTATATATATATATATCTATATATATATATATATATATCTATATATATATATATCTATATATATATATATCTATATATATATATATCTATATATATATATATATAGATATATATATATATATCTATATATATATATATCTATATATATATATATATATATCTATATATATATATATAGATATATATATATATAGATATATATATATATATAGATATATATATATATAGATATATATATATATAGATATGAAATAAATAAATAATAAGTAGTCATATAGATATATAATATGTATATATACATACATACATATATATATATATATATATATATATATATATATATATATATATATATATATATATATATATATATATATATAATATATGCACACATAGATGTCCCTTAGTTTCACTTACATCAAAAAACTTCCATCTAACTGTTTCCTTATTCATCATCTTCTTCAGATTTCTCATGTAAACTGTGTTAAGAGTGTACCACTTGGTCTCAACCTGTGCACTTGTAAAGCTGTAATTTCTTTCTCTCATATCCTTGTACACAGCTTCAAGGATATTTCTCATTGTAAATTTATTTCCTTCACATTTTGCAAGTTCATTGTGGTGGTGTCTCACTCTCTCACACAAGTAAAACACAGCATCATCACTCCACATTACATGGTCTGAAAAAAAAAATATATATGTATTCATATACTTTATCAAAATGGATCATTTGATTATCTTCATAGTTAATCATGCATGGACTGTAGTAAAATGAAATTCTTATATATATTTTCTTTAGGCAAAAGTAATTTCTTTGGAACATTAATTAATTCATTACATCTTTTACATTTCTAACCAGTTCAGAAGTTCTTCATTTTCACCTTTTCCTTCTTTTATTCTATGCTATTTTATTTTCTTCTTTTCTTTTTTCTTTTCTTCTTTTTCCAAGACAGTTAATATTGCATCTATACAATATGCATCTTTAAACCACAATATTCAGATCTTTATCATTTCCTTTCCTTTACAACCCCCTCTTTGAAACCTACTCTTCTAATATTGTTAAAGCAAATATTCAGCATCTTAGCTCTTTTCTATAATAAATATCAATGCCAACTACAGTAAGACTGTAAAACCACATAGATAAATCACAGTCTTTGATATATCATTTATAACTTACCTAAAGACGCAGGTGCGTGCATCTCATTTCCATAATTGTGATCGTCTTTGGCCTCAAACTGGGCTTCAATAAGAGGGACATTGGCATTACTTGCTTGTATATCGGAAGTTGCATTCTCAAGTTGCACGGCCACATTTGAAGAAGAATCAATGTCTGGCACCGCAGCTGAAAATATGTAAGAGATTATAATAACTTTTTTTCTTTTGACTTTACTTTTTGTACTGCTCTCTTTGTTTGTGTGCTAATCAGTTTAAAAGAGAAAAAGAAAAAATCACGATACAGTTATTGTTAAAATACTAGTTAAGTAATAATATAAAATTTGGAGGTAATTACAATGCAATGAACAGAATGG